AGCCTTTCTGTGATGGCATCACAAGGCGATGATATGATTGAGGTGTTTACATGAGTTGCTTTTTGAATGTTCCTTTCATGTTCCTGAATGTTCATGCATTACGTCAGTATTTGACGCTAGTTTCCTCTGGCGTTTCACGCAACAACAGTTTGTGTTTGTCATGATAGCACCATATGTGATTTTGCCCATTTTGTTTTTAATTTTGAGACAAGTTCAACTGCAGTTTATTTCTTACAATATGCGTGCAAACAGACGATGAGGTTGGATACAAATTCTTTAGCAGCCTTTGCCATTTTATTAACTAATTTCATTCATTCCCTCACGACAAACTCGCTTCAGAGTCAAAGTACTTCATTTATTTAATTTTTTTTTCATTGGCCTTTGCAATGCTTAATTTGTGAATTGCAAGGTCCCGGAACAGATCGGGGTAACAGATCTGGCATGTTACCCAAGGATGGAGAGGTGTCTCACATGAAAGTGGGGAGCAGAGGGGGGGGGGTGTGTTGGTGCGGTGGATGGTGGAGAGGTGTCGTGGATGAAAATGAGGGGTGTCGTGGATAACAGTGAAGAATGTTAGGGAGTCACGGAAGATAGTGAACAGCGGATGGAAGAGAAGGGCGGTTGAGGAGTAAGATCAGTAAAATGAGGTGCCGGATTAGATTTCAGAGGTGTCGGGTCCGGTAAGTTACGACACAAATTAAGCCCTGGGTCTTTGACACCTGTTTTTACCAAGTAGCTATTTTAATTGATATGCATTTCTAGATATTTTAGCGATATTTGACCCTATATTTAGTGTCTTCTATGTACTATTATGCTTATTTTGTCGATTATTTCTGTGCTTTGGCTCACATCTGTGTTTTTTAAAGTGCTCTATAAACAATAGTTTGAATTGAATTAAACTAATGTCCATTTCTTTCAGATTCTCAGCATTGTCATCATTTCCAACTCGCACCAAAAATCTGCTCTCTTGCTTGAAGCCACTCTCATTTATTTGTCGTCAAACGCCTGACAACTGCCATGTGCATGTCTTGGCGCCAAAATTTAGTGAAAAGATGTACAAAATGTTAATAGTTTGGTGTCCATGTTTACGCGTCTGTACAGCACTTCAATAATGCCACTAAAATAGGAATACTCAACATGTCTTAATTCCATAAGACTTAATCAGAGTATTGTCTTAATGATATTAAAAGCGGAGTATTGGTGTCCATGTAAACGTACTGGGTGGCAACTTTATTAATCTGATCTGAATAATGTTTAAACAAACTAGAACTACAATAGTATTGTACCACCTGCCTAAAATAGTGAATATTCATTCATTCATTCATTCATTTTCTTGTCGGCTTAGTCCCTTTATTAATTCGGGGTCGCCACAGCGGAATGAACCACCAATTTATCAAGCAAGTTTTTACGCAGCGGATGCCCTTCCAGGCGCAACCCATATCTGGGAAACATACACACACACATTCACACACTACAGTTTAGCTTACACAATTCACCTGTACCGCATGTCTTTTGACTGTGGGGGAAACCAGAACACCCGGAGGAAACCCAAACGAACGCAGGGAGAACATGCAAACTCCACACACCACCGACCCAGCGACCTTCTTGCTGTGAGGCGAACGTGCTACCCACGGCGCCACTGCCTCGCCAATAGTGAATATGTTTGACAAAAAATGATATTGTTATCTTATGCTCTTTTATTGGTCATATATATTGTTCATCCTTATAAAATGCCTTTAACGCATTGTAAAGAAGATTAGAATTGTAAGCTCGTGCGTCACGTTTCGCAGATCGTTGCGTTGAAAAGTTTAAGCTTGGTGAACTCTGACCTGCGAAATTGCATCACTCAACTGCTCAAAGATCAAAACATGACCTCTCTGGACAGAAATGTAAAATATTGGACCAATCACTTGCTTTTAAAAATGTCTAATCATCTTGTTTATTCCCATCCCTTTTCGCAGTGTGCACAACAGAATTTCGCAAGCTCAAACTCTAGTGTGACCGCAGCATAAGTTGTATGGAGCAGAGTGTAATTATAGACTGATTGTTCTCAGCGGGTGAGGGATGGGCAAATTCCTGTCTGGTCCACTTCATCAATAAACAATCAGTTTCCTTTTCTTCTGGGTGTTTCACATCACAGCCTGGCAGTGAGTCACAACACTGACTCAACATCCTTAAGGCTTACAATGTTCACTGAGACATTCTTCTGGTAAACACGTCAGCTGATCAGATCGGAGTCATTGAGTTTCATTACTGGAGAAACCGAGACACATGAAGCAGGCCCATAGCCAGCTTGGTAAAACGGGTAGTTCTTTTTTTGTTTTCTCGAAAAGTGGGCCTTTTATGCCTAATTTTCTATTTAATTAGAAGGTGTAAATACTGCACGTAAGTGACATTCTAAAAATTCTATTTTCTTAAACTTGCACAAAAGCTTGTCGGATGGTCATTGTGACCACGCTTTTTTTATGTACCAAAAGCATTTCCTAAATCTTTTGAATAAAGAAACAATACATTCATTCATTCTTTCATTTTCTACCAATTTTACAGGGGCTGGGACGCAGGGGCAGCAGTCTTAGTAGAGAACTCCAGACATCCCTCTCCCTAGACACTTTCTCCAGCTCCTCCGGGGAAATCCCAAAGCGTTCCCAGGCCAGTCGAGAGACATATTTCCTCCAGCGTTTCCTAAGTCTTCCCCGAGGCCTCCTCTCAGTGGGACATGTCTGGAACACCTCGCTAGGTTCTCTTGATGTGGAGGAGCAGCGGCTCTACTCTGACCTCCTCCCGGGTGTCAGAGCTCCTCACCCTATCCATAAGGGTGCGCCCTGCCACCCTGCAGAGAAAACTCATTTCATTGTATCCAAGATCTTGTCCTTTTTGTCATAATCCAAAGCTCTTGACCATAGGTGAGAGTAGGAATGTAGATTGACTGGTAAATCAAGAGCTTTGACTTTCAGCTCAGCTTCTTTACCCCAACGGACCGGTACATCGACCGCATTACTGTTGCACCAATCCGCCTGTCAATCTCACGCTCCATCCTTCCCTCACTCGTGAACAATATCCCAAGATACTTAAACAAGATACTTGGAGGACCTGGGGCAAGGACTTTCCTCCAACCTGGAGATGGCAAACCACAATTTTCGAGAAGGTTCTGGATGCAGACCTGGTGCAGTGCAATCTGAGCTGCATCCAATGCTTTTGAATGGACTCACCTAACCCCACCCCTAACCCTACCCGTCACAGTGACGTCACTCACTCCATTTGAGTGCATTGTGTCTGACATTGCATCGCTAAGTAATGCAATCTCAGCTTGCATCATAAAGGCTGCATCCAGATACTCTTGCAATTTTTCAGTGGAGCACCATGGCCTCGGACTTTGAGGTGCTGATTCTCATTCCAGCCTCGTCACACTCGGCAGCAAACCGCCCCAGTGCATGCTGAAGGTCCATGTTCGATGAAGCCAACAAAACTACAATACTTATTTTAAAATACAAAAATAAAGATGTTACATTTTTTTTATTTTATTAGGCAACTAACAAACTGGCCAGCCTATTCAACATTCCTCAGTTAGAGTTTGAGATGCCGAATTTGCCAAATTCTGTACCGACATCCAACACAGGACCCCTTGGTCTTAAAGCCTTTTTCGATGGGTTATTTTCACAATTTATTATAAAATAGCAGTCAAAATACTACAAATGAGCTGATTTAAGGGACAAATTCTGGGCCTTTTTTAGTGAGGGGTGGGTCTTTCGAACCACTCGAACTTGTTTTCTCAAGACAAATGAGAAAACCGAGCAGAAATGAGAATAAATCAATGATTTTATTCCTAATGTGCGTGAACATGGCTGCAGCTATGCGATTACAAAGTCAAATTTCCTCGTGAACTCAAGAATCTCTCAACAGATTCTTGGACAAACAGCACATGTCTTGAATAACTTGAAATTTAAACTCAAATTCCTTTATTTCACAAATTAATGTTTGGGATTTAATGTTTCAGTAAGAGGGGTGGCATGATGGCTCAGTGGTTAGCACTGTGGCCTCACAGCAAGAAGGTTGCTGGCTCAAGTCCCAACTGGGTTAGCATTTCTGTGTGGAGTTTGCGTGTTCTCCCATGTTGGCATGAGTTTCCTCCGAGTGCTCCGGTTTCCCACACAAGTCCAAACACATGCGCTATAGGGGAACTGATTAACTAAATTTGCCATAGAGTATGAGTGTGTATGGGTGTTGCCCAGTACAGGGTTGCAGCTGTAAGGGCATCTGCTATTTAAAACCTATGCCGGAATAGTTGTCGGTTCAATCCTCCATGGTGACCCCTGATAAATGAGGAACTAAAGGCCCATTTACATCAGGATGTTCTTAGCTTGCTTTTTTCGACGAAGTTTAACGCCTCGTGACTGAACAAAGGCTGCCAATGTGATCGAGACCAACACGCAAAACGCCAGGAGTAAAAAGATCATTATTAAAGAAACCCCTCATGCTCACTGCGTTAAATACTTCTCCACCAATCAGAATGACACTTTTGTTCACCTGCCTGGAGCTGCTGAAGTTACAGTAAACACCACCTGGAGGCACTCAAGAGCGAAACAGTCGAGGTGAACACAGTTTCACTATCATTCAGTGAGGAAGAAGATACACTGAGGCATTTGATTGTAGGTGAGTTTCATTTCACGTTTCTTTCATGACTTGCAATTTTAGTAAGTGACATCTAACGACGGGGTGATTCTGCATGTTCAATCTGCTTAACGCTGATGAAAATCAACTGTGCAGAAAAACGTCAACGATAAACATCAGTGAAAAGCGTCCTGGTGTGTACAAGCCTTAGAGAAAATGAATAAACGGAGTCTCAAGTATATTTTCACTTTTAACCTGTTGAGTCTCTTCTGGACTTAAGTAGGTGAAGAAATAAGAAACGTGATTAAATATGATCTTCACTATAAACTGAATTCATTTACTGTCATAAAATCTGTCTGTATAAGAGCAGATGCTGTAGTGTAGACTCTTACTGTAGTGGACGATGTCCTCCATCTTCCTCCAGACTCTGTACTGCAGGTTCCCCAAGTACTGAGACACATGAATCAAAGCTCCAGAAGGCGTCTGTGGATCCGGCTGTGAGATCTGGACTCTGGAAGAACATTCAGGAGTCAGAACTGCAGTGGCTTTGGCTTCAGAAGCAGAGAGAGCAGCAGATCACCCACCTTTCCATTGAGCCTGGAAACTCCTTCAGAAAGCAGACGTCATTGGCTTTCAGCATCTCCTTCGTGTCTCTGATTGAGTCTGAAAGAGCTGAGATGTGTGTGTTGATCTCCTCCAGCTTCTCCTTCATCATCTGCTTCTTCTGCTTCTCTTCTTTCCTCAGTGCAGTGATTGTACCCTTTTCTCTATCTTTGAGAAACTGATGAAGCTTCTCAAACTCTTGTTTAATTTGATGCTCGCTGTGGTCGGCTTGAGCCTGGAAGAAAATCAGATACCCTGAATAACCCAACATCTAACATTCTAAACCAAGAATATCTTATGCTAATTTACCAATTGTAATTATACATAATGACCCTATACACTGCAAACAATGCTGATGTTAGTTGTTCTGCTTTTAGAATGTGGGTTCCATTTCGGAATGTTTGCCTTTGCTTTGATCTCTATAACCAGATCACTGCCAGATTTTTTTGTCTTGTCTTAAAGTCCAAATATCTAAAAACTCTTTAATGAAAAAGCATTTTCTAGACAGCAAAAACATATCATCTTGTTTCAAGAAATAATGTCAATAAAATATATAAAATAAATAAATAAATAATAAATAATCTGCCAATGGGGTAAACAAAACAATCTTGTTTTTCCTTTTGACATTATGGGCCCTATCATACACCCGACGCAATAAGGCGCAAGATTTGGCGCGATTTGTTGCCATTTTCAGACCAGCGCAACCCTAATTTTCTTGTTTTGCGCCACCCTGTTTAAATGGCAAATCTATTTGCACCGTGTTGTGGACTCATGGGTGTGCTGGTCTATAAAGGAGGTGTGTTAAGGCGCGTTGTTGGCGCCATTTTGACTAAAATAGACAGCGCCATTGACCAACTAAAAACAGCTCTAAAGTCCAGTTCTTTAATGAAAACGCTGTGCACTCAATGTCTGATCTTAAAGACAATTTATGTTGTTCTTTCCATACTCGCAATTAAAAAGCTATATTACAAATCATGAATAAAAGGAAATATTTTTCAAAAAGTGCCAACTAATATGGGAGAGTATTTTTATTGATATAAAAAAGTAAAAAGGACACACACCCAGCTGAAGTCACAATTATTTTCTTTTTTAAATATTTCCCAAATGATGTTAAACAGGGCAAGGAAATTTTCACACTATGTCTGATAATATTTTTTCTTCTGGAGAAAGTCTTATTTGGTTTATTTCGGCTAGAATAAAAGCAGTATTTGATTTTTTAAACACCATTTTAAAGTCAATATTATTAGCCCCTTTAAGTGATGTATTTTTTCGATAGTCGACAGATCAAACCATTGTTATACAATAACTTGCCTAACCTGCCTAGTTAACCTAATTAACCTAGTTAAGCCTTTAAGCTGTATAGAAGTGTCTTGAAGAATATCTAGTCTAATATTATTTACTGTCTTCATGTCAAAGATAAAACAAATCATTTATTAGAAATGAGTTATTAAAACTAATATGTTTACAAATGTGTTGAAACAATCTTCTCTCTGTTAAACAGAAATTGGGAAAAAATAAACAGCCGAGCTAATAATTTAACAACTTCAACTGTATACAGACTAATTCTGGACTCAACAGATAACAACCTTTTAAGGCAAATGGGTATCTGAACTTAATGAAAAAATTGAGGATGAGATTTGGGAGAACATATGTTCAGAATCTCATAAGGGGATCAATAGCCATAACTGGAAAGAGTTTGACTGGAACACTATTGGTGGTATCAAAATATGCTAACAGTCCACCGTCAGAGGAATGCTGGAGGAGTTGCGGGAATATAGGTAATCACACATATAATTTGTTTTTATTTACTTCTAGTGTTACTTGTTTTGTTGTTGTTGTTGTTTTAAATAACCGCTGCTGTCATTAAATGTTTTAATTTGTAAAATGTTTAAAATTTTTAAAAATTTTATGTATAAAAAATACATAAAATGCACGGATGCACATTGCTTAATACAGACAGGATGTACAGCAATACACAAATATCTTAAAGATGAAAACAATTTAAGGATTCAAACGATATAAAAATTATTATTTTCCACATCAACATAAACACCACCGTCTCCATGCCTTCTTTACCTCGAGGGGCTTTTTCAGTTTATTCATGATAATCTGCATCAGTATAATGTTATTATTATTAGCAGTATTATTTATCATATGTATATTTATATTTGTTTTAATACAAACAAGTTTAGATTTGGGGCGAGGCAGTGGCACAGTAGGTAGTGCTGTCGCCTCACAGCAAGAAGGTCGCTGGTTCGAACCTCGGCTCAGTTGGTGTCTCTGTGTGAAGTTTGCATGTTCTCCCTGCCTTCGCGTGGGTTTCCTCCGGGTGCTCTGGTTTCCCCCACAGACCAAAGACATGTGGTACAGGTGAATTGGGTAGGCTAAATTGTCCATAGTGTATGAGTGTGTGTGTGGATGTTTCCCAGAGATGGGTTGCGGCTGGAACGGCATCCACTGCATAAAAACTTGCTGGATAAGTTGGCGGTTCATTCCGCTGTGGCGACCCCGGATTAATAAAGGGACTAAGCCGACAAGAAAATGAATGAATGAAGTTTTGATTTGTCGACCTGTAGGGTTTTGGAGACGTCTGCATCACCATATGGGGTATGAGAAAAGGACGTGTGCTTGAACATAACTTTTTGAACACACTTCATTATTACTGTTCATTTATTAGTTTGCTAAAGATTAGATCTGAATTTAGAAATAGTTTACACAAATCTTTGCACTTAAAGGATTTTAAATATGTAGGCTAATGGATGTGTTCAGTGGAGTGAGTTTGCACTGTTTCCTCACTCCACCAAAAGTAAAGGAGTCAAAAGTAAAAGTAAAGAGAAAGCAAAGAAGCTGAATGGAGGAGGCTCGTTCTTTATTCTTGCGCTGCAGATGCTCTGTTTAACTGTTTTCTCGTTAGTGCTCGGTTTTTACACTTACAAAGTCCTCTAGGTAAATAGCAAATGCGCCATGCGACGCAACTGACTCTTAAAGGGGATGTGAGATGAGAGTCCGATTAGTTTAATGCACGTTTTGCTCAAAACACAACCAGAACTCATTAACAGAATAAACACAGCCCTGTTAGAGCAAGCACCAGGGAGCAGAGTGTATTTTTCTCTCCTTAAAATAGCGGAAGTGGATTCAGATTTGCCCTTTATGCCTTTGCACCACACTGGAATCGGGTGCAATCGAGTTCCTCAAACGGTTTGAGTTGCCTTAACTTATTGGGTTTTACAGTACTCAGTTGGTTTGAGTTCTCTTCATTTATTGGGTTTTACTGTGCTCAAATTGCTTTGTTTACTCAAATGGAGTAAGTTCACAGTACTCATTAGAATTAGTTTTTAACTTAAATTGTTTGTTGCTATCGGTTTCCTCAAATGGTTTGAATTACTTTGACATTTTGGGATTTAGGCCGTACTCACACTATGTACAGTTGCCTTGAACTAGGCCAAAGCACGCTTGTCCTCCCTCCCGTCTCCCCCAACGGCCCGCACTCACATTACAATTGGGTTTGGGCACGCTTACATCATCGATGCTGCGCTGTTCAGTAAGCGCTCTCGCTCAGCACAGTGGAGATTTCTCTAGTTATTTAGTTTCAGTCTTTTGATATGCAGTGACATGCTGTCAAATATTTCGCCAAACATTCCTTAGGGATGCGATGACATGCTGTCAGATATTTCGCCGAACAGATCCCGCCACTTTTGGCACTCATAAACAATCATAAAGCCCTCGTGCTGCAGGAATTAGGAGGTTTGCTGAAGGTGCAGCAGTTGTGCAGTGAGGGGTTTGCGTCTTTAATAAACTACAGCAGTTTGCGATCACTGAACAGTAAGATTGATAATAAGTACATATGAAACAGTCCCTTAAAAGTCACGTCTCGCTTTCAGTTTCGGGCTTTGGAGCGTTTCGCACTCACACACAAGCGTACCGCGCCAAAGCCCAAGTGAACCGCGCTCAGGCCCACCTCTTCCAACCGGGCCAGGGCCGGCCAAATGAAAAGTGCCTGAGCCCGATTCAGCGCACTCACACTTCTCAAATGATCCGGGAAACGGGCCTGGGCATGGTTCGGATAGCATAGTGTGAGTACGCCCTTACAGTGCATGTGCTTTAGACTTTGTGCCTAGATCATTAAAACAGAGCCCTTATTATTTTGCTTACCCCATTGGCAGATTTCTTTGCTTGTTTTAAGGAAAAACTCACTTCATTTTGACATATTATTTCTCAACACTAAACAATATGTTTTGCTTGACCAGAAAATGTTTCTCGATTTAAGAATTTTTGAATATTCGGACTAGAAACAAGAGAAAAACTAAGTATAAAGCCTTTTTTTTTTTTTTTTGCAGTGTATCTGTAATAAAAATAACACTCAAATGTGTTTCCTCACCGTGATGTGCTGAACTGTTTTCTCAAACTCTTCTTTAATGGTTTCTTTGTGTCTTAGTTTCTCTTGTAAGGACTTCAGTCCTGTATTGAGCTCCTCCTAGAAATAAATACAAACATGTATAAATGTCCAGATTACAGTGAAAAGGATGCTGTGATATGAGAATACAGCATCATATGAAGTTGAGTAGAAACTCAGAGAAGCTTAAGTGCATGTACATGAAGAAAACAGTGTTAATGACTAACTAATCTATAGATGAGAATAAATGACATAAGTCTTACCTTGTGTGATGAAACCACTTCACCGATGGGTCTGAATTTGTGATTGTCGTGCTGTTCTGAGTCTCTGCACACCAAACACACCGGCTGCTTGTCCTCCAGACAGAAGAGTTTGAGTTTCTCACCGTGTAAACTGCAGATCTCCTCTGATCCTGGTGAAGGTTTCTCTTTTCTCTCCTTCAGGAAGGACTCGCACAAGTTTTTTAACACAAGATTGTTTGGAGGATCATCTCTCGAGGATCTCCTCCTGCAGACGGGACACTCCTGGATATCCACAGCTCTCCAGTACTGCTGAAGACACTCTCTACAGAAACTGTGACTGCAAGATAAAACCACGGGATCCTTGAAGATTTCATGACAAATGGGACAAGAAAAATTCTCTTCAGAAAGCGAAGCCATTCTCCCTGTTTGAGCTCCAGCAGCTTAACTTTCTCTTTCCGAACAATGCCTCCAAAAATAATTCACTAGGGGGAAAAAACAAAACCAAAGATTTGCCGTCAATTCAGAAGGTACTCTCTTTCAGGAAATGTCCCAGTGTTTTCCGCAGATCGGAAACTGTTTGTTGCTGAAAATCTGAAGGGAGAGAAAGCGAGTCAGTCTTTCCCAGGGCAGTGCTGTAACAGGGTGGAGTACTTTCTTATCATGCGGCTTTCTTAAAACAGGTCAGACAGAAAACATCCGTATTTCTCGAGGCTGCTTTTGATTAATTGGATTAAAATTAATTTAAAGTGTGTGAAAAGATAACAGGCAATCCCACATGCTGTCAATACTTGATGAACGATTTATTAAATTAAATGTCTGATGACGACCGCAAGACTGGAACATTTAACATTCATTTTCCTTCGATTTTGTCTCTTTCAGATGTTGCCACAGTGGAATGAACTGCCAACTATTCCAGCATATGTTTTACGCAGTGGATGCCCTTCAAGCTGCAACCCGGTACAGGGAAACACCCATACACCCTCATTCATTCATTCATTCATTCATCTTCTGCCGCTTTTCCGGGGCCGTGTCGCGGGGGCAGCAGACTTAGGAGAGAACCCCAGACTTCCCTTTCAGCAGACACTTCTTCCAGCTCCTCCGGGGGGATCCCCAGGCGTTCCCAGGCCAGCCGAGAGACATAGTCCCTCCAGCGTGACCTGGGTCTTCCCCGAGGCCTCCTCTCGGTGGGACATGCCTGGAACACCTTTCTAGGTAGGCGTCCAGGAGACATCAGAAACAGATGCCTAAGCTCAGCTGACTTCTCTGGATGTGGAGGAGCAGCGACTCTACTCTGAGCTGACCTCCCGTGTGTCAGAACTCCTCACCCTGTCTATAAGAGTGCGCCCTGCCACCCTTCGAAGGAAACTCATTTCGGCCGCTTGTATCCGAGATCTTGTCCTTTCAGTCATGATCCAAAGCTCATGACCATAGGTGAGAGTAGGAACATAGATTGATCAGTAAATCAAGAGCTTTGGCTTTAGGCTCAACTCCTTTTTCACCACAACGGACCGGTACATCGACCGCATTACTGCTGCTACTGCACCAATCCGCCTGTCAATCTCAAGCTCCATCCTTCCCCCACTCATGAACATAACCCCAAAATACTTAAACTCCTCCACCTGGGGTACGGACTTTCCTTCCACCCTCATTCACATTCCAGACAATTTAATCAGTTACTCATAACTTACTTGCCTTAAACACTGTGTAAAAATTTAACAGTTCTGTATAAATCACTCCAGAGGAGCAGAGTAAACAGATTTTTTTGTTATACAAATATTTTTTGCAGAAAAATATTAGCTACAGAAGGTCACATTTATCAGAATGATTGAACATTATGAATTGAGCCATTATTTATTGAAATATACATTCAGAGAAGCAGAGCAACTGTGTACACTGTTAAAAAAATATCCCTAAATTAGCAGTTTTCCATATTTTTTGACTCATGTTATTATTTTTCCTCATTTATTTCTGCTTTTGAATTGCATTTTGGGATCTTGATCTTTCTTCCAACAACTTTAACCTTAAAGCTTTAAAAAGGTCTTTTATGAACATGTGTAATAGTCTGCAGTGCTATATTGTCTGTGTTGGTGTTGAACATTGCACTACAAACACCTTGTAATAAACTGCAGCATTCATTCATTCATTTTCTTGTCGGCTTGGTCCCTTTATTAATCCGGGGTCGCCACAGCAGAATGAACCGCCAACTTATCCAGCAAGTTTTTACGCAGCGGATGCCCAGCCGCAACCCATCCCTGGGAAACATCCACACACACATTCACACACTACGGACAATTTAGCCTACCCAATTTACCTGTACTGCATATCTTTGGACTGTGGGGGAAACCGGAGCACCCTGAGGAAACCCACGCGAAGGCAGGGAGAACATGCAAACTCCACACAGAAACGCCAACTGAGCCGAGGGTCGAACCAGCGACCTTCTTGCTGTGAGGCGACAGCACTACCTACTGCACCACTGCCTCGCCCTCTGCAGCACATTTTCTCTTAATTTACACACTTATAGGGCTTTATTTTAACAGTTTAGGCAGTTAAGCGCCGGGAGCAAAAGAGAGCGTGTCTGAATCCACTTTTATTTTAGGGGCGGGAAAATACGCTCTGTGCCCCGGCGCATGCTCTAACAGGGCAGTGTTTATTCTCTTAGTGAGTTCTGGGTGTGTTTGGAGCACAAAGTGCATCAAACCAATCACTCTCATCTCCTATTCCTTTTAAGAGTCAGTTGTGTTGCCCCATGGCACATTTGCTATTTACATGTTGGACATTTAAAGGCTTAACTGGGTTAATTAGGTTAACTAGGCAGGTTAGGGTAATCAGGCAAGTTACTGTATAACGATGGTTTGTTCTGTAGACTGTCTTTAAAAAAAATAAAGCTTAAAGGGGCTAATAATATTGACCTTAAAATGGTGTTTAAAAATTTAAAAACTGCTTTTATTCTAGCCGAAATAAAACAAACAAGACTATCTCCAGAAGAAAAAATATTATCAGACATACTGTGAAAATTTCCTGAATCTGTTAAACATCAATTGGTAAAAAGAAAAAAAAAAGAAAACAAAATTCAAAGGGGGGCTAATAACTCTGACTTCAATTATACACACACACACATATATATATATATATATATATATATATATATATATATATATATATATATATATATATATATATATATATATATATACACATATACATATACATATATATATATATATACACATATACATATACATATATATATATATATATATATATATATATATATATATATATATATATATTTTTTTTTTTTTTTTTTTTTTTTTTTACAATAAAAAAACAATTAAATATTTGTCAATACATATATGGTATTTGCCAATATTTTATAAATCTAATTTCACTTATGTCTGAATTTACACTGTTTGCGGGTCAATCCAGGGCCATATATACTTGCAACATGAAAGAAAGTTTTGCAAACAAAAAATAAAGTGTTGTGCAAAAAAAAAAATAATAATAATAATGCAAATATTAAAAAAATGTAAACTGCAAAAAATAGAAATATATAAATAAATAAAAATAAATTTAAATAAATAAATTTTGCAAACAAAAATAAAAATCAAGTAGTGCAAAAAAATACATTTAATATTTGCATTTAAAAAAAAAATATACATATATTTGCTAAATGTTTTTTTTCTAGTATTGCCCTTACAAAACCTCTTAAGTCAACTGCAACACTCATTTTGATTTGCTTTTCAGTAAACCATGAGTTTTCTTTTTGCACTTCACATTTCTGTGCATTTGTCTTTCTGGCCCTGATTTGACAAGGGGTCGGGAACTGGGGCATGAGTTTTTAAAATTTGCATTATTTTCATTTTTTGCTCAATACTTTATTTTTTGTTTGTTTCATGTTGCAGGTATATACGGCCCTGGACTGACTCCATACTAACAGCGACAGCAGCGCCCACTAGTGTGGATTGTTGCCGTGACGTTTTCACTGTTGCACATGACAAAAAAAAATCATGTAATTAGTATTCTCATTATTTAAATGCAGTAAATGTTTAAAAAATATTTTCCATGGACCTCTTATTATAAAAACTGCTGTTATTTCATTTTTTGCTTTACATTTTTGAGCCAAATCTCAAAACTGTGCCATGATGTGACCGTCTCAAGCACAGTTTAATAAATTACAGCTCTTATAAATCAAAAAGAATATCCTAAAGCTAATTAATACCATTAATAAACACCTCAGGACATTTTTACAGGTGGCTATTTTATAAATAAAGGTTTTAGGTTAACTAGGCAGGTTAGGGTAATTAGCAGGGGCGGACTAGGACTAAAAATCAGCCCTGGCACTATAGCCACACCAGCCCACATTACCACACCGACACAGCCCCATCCACGGACACGCACATTCACTACTTATATTGTTGTACAGATGGTGACATAATGTAAGCAGTACCATATTTTATGCAGCTGATGTCCTCCAAGCTGCAACCCATCATTGGGAAACCCCTATACACACACATTCACATACATGCACTACGGCCAATTAGGCCTTCCCAATTCACCTATAGCGTGTATATGTGTTTGGACTTGTGAGGGAAACCAAGAGGAAACCCATGCGAACATGCAAAACACCAACTAACCAGCCGAGGTACGAACCATCGACCTTCTTGCTGTCGACAGTGTCCTTTCGAGTCTATTTCAGTTAATGTTATGCATTTGGCAGCGTCTGGTTTTAGAGCAATTTTTTGCTTTCTCTGGGCTTTTCGGCACAGCATTTTCTTTTTTTAAACGGTCCATCTCTGACAATTTGCATGTGTTGCACTTACTGTTTGTTTGACATTCTTGCCAGATTTTGATTACATTTACCCATCTCGAAACCAGTCAACCATTGCCGATTGGGCCAACGCTTAACATTTATTATTATTATTATTAGTATTATTATTATTATTACTATCATCATCATAATCATCACAATATTCACATCTTGCAAGAGAAAAACATGTAAAAACAATACATATTAAATAAACGTTATTTAAAAAATAGCATACCGGCCCACATTTAAAAAAAATGGTCCGGCCCTTTTGGCATTTGCCAGAATTGCCAGATGGCCAGTCCGCCCCTGGTAATTAGGCAAATTATTGTATAACGATGGTTTGTTCTGTAGACTGTCTACAAAATATATAGCCTAAAGGGGCTAATAATATTGACCTTAAAATGGTGTTTAAAAAATTCAAAACTGCTTTTGTTCTAGCCGAAATGAAACAAATCAGACTTTCTCCAGAAGAAAAAAATATTATCAGACACACTGTGAACATTTCCTGAATCTGTTAAACATCATTTAAGGAAATACTTACAAAAGAAAATTCAAAGGGGGGCTAATAATTCTGACTTCAACTGTATACATACTTTATTGTTTACTTTAGTCCCACGTGTATGCATGCACTCTGAGCTCTTGTATAGCCTTCCAGAGAAAACCAGCAACAATCAAGAATGAATGCAATGCATGATCATATGCTGACATGGATTTGCACTAAAAAAGTCATTATA